AATTCAAAGACGTTGTATATATCAAATTCAACAAGTGGAGTATCGCATATTCTTTCCATTAGTTTAACCAAATTTATATTACAATTTTTATATGTTGTTAGAAAATCTTGCAGCTGTAATTTTGCAATAGAAGTATTTACATAAGTATAACTAAATAAAAACTTATAATACTAGGCATCCCTTGCCCGTATACATATATCCACCATCCTACAACCCGCGATCCTTCAAAAGAGGTGTTAAGAAGAATTTTTATTTGTGCAGACTGGTAGGGTGAGGTTGGTTATTGTTAGCAGGTGAAATTGCATTACCATTTTCGCATGTAGACATAACATCAGGTGGTGATGGTGTGAAACCATTTGATACCTATATTTTTTTTTAATATGCCTTGTTAAATATTTAAACATAAAAATGTATAGAAATAATAGCATGTCAAAAGCATTATCAAACCTCTCCAATTTGAACCACACAATCTGCAATGTATGCGTCGGACATTGTAGAAGTCCAAGTTAATTTTGTAATGCCCGGTTGCACTTTTTTCTCACAAGCCTGAAAAAAAAATGTCTATGAAATGTTATTAAAACTAGGTAGATAAGTCTGTAATCCAGCCAACTAAGCAATAATTGGAATAAAATAATCGGTTAAATGTTTGGTGTGGTGGAATAAAATAATCGGTTAAATGTTTGGTGGCCCAACATGGATAAGTGAAAAAATATTTGGTATGATATGAACAGTGACGACATCGAACATAATTATGTTGGCTTTAATTCCCAAAAAATAAAGTATTTAACTCTCTCCCATTTATAAAGTAAAGCAATTCAATAGCACAAATTCAAAAGATAGTGTGTACTACTTATGTTCTATTCAGGGCAACAGTTTAAAACGCCTCCTCATAATGCATGAATAGTGGTTTCAAAGAAATAAATTAAGAAAAAAAAGGTTGTAAGTACGAATTATTTCAAAACTAAGCGTTACGGACAGTGTATTTTCTCTTATTATTTAAGTTATTATAATGATTTATGCTTAGATTAAAACAAAAAGGGAAGATACGACACTACGATAAAAAAATGTATTCATAAATAAGTATTAACTAACCTATTTATGAATACATTTTTTTATTATATAATTTTATCAACTTAATTTTGCAATACCCTTACAGGGTCGTATCTTTTAACTAAAAATATATATGACATCTTTTAACTTTTCTACATGAAAGCAAATAAATAAATAAACCTATTTTGCACTCATAATATTGGTAGCTTTCCAATTACAGCTTTATGGGTATTTTTTACTTCTGATGACGAAAACATAAAAAAAATTTTGATCAACTTTACTTAAAATAGCTGTTAATATCAATTAATTAGGTCATTATCTACTATAAAAAAATATGCACCGAGCTTACAGCTCTTTAGTTCTACTAGAAAAACCACATAACATTATGATCGTCCATGGTAGTGACACTGAATCCAGGGAAGTGACTTTCCATACTGTTTTTAACCATGGATATGACTTCACCGCGTCATGGACGTAACATTGTATTGATATAAAGAGATCATAAATTACTTTATTCAAGGAAATTAAGATGTCTATTGGATTTATTGAAGAAAACAAATGTTTGGAAAACAAGCTTTTAATTGCTTAGATTTTTTTATTTTAACCTCAATCATATCTTTTATCTTAGGATTATGGTATGAACAATATTTTGTAATGTAACTGCTAAAGATATCAAAAATATTGTACTTATAACGTCTTCTCACTCCAGTCTCAATTATATCTTAATATTATATTTTAAAAAGTTTCAATTATTTTAGAACTTTAAAAATATTTCTTAATAAATATATTTTGAATCGTCATCGCTCTCACTTTCATAGATCTTCATCCTTCTCTTTCCAGCCTTAGTATCTCGTCCCTTACCCTCCTGTTCTTCAGTCCCACCATCAAGTTCGTTATCTTCTTGTTCTTCAATCTGATCATCGAGTTTTCTATCTTCCAGTTCTTCGATCTCACTAGTTAAGTCTAGTTCCTCATACTCTCGTTTTTCGGTCTCACTATCCAGTTCCTTACCCTCACTATTAAGCTCATTATCTTTTTATTCTTCACTTGCACCGTCAAGTTCCCTATTCTCTACTTTTTTAGCCTCACTGTATAGGTCCCTATCCTTCTGCTCTGCAGTCTAACTATCCAGTTCCTTGTCTTCCTGTTCTTCCGTCTCACTGTCAAGTACCACATTCTCCAGATCTTCGGTTTCATAATCCTTTCCTTATTCTCCTGTTCTTGGCTATTTCTATCATATATTTCTTTCTGCCGCAATGGGTTAGAAAATTTCACGTAACTGTTGGACAACGAGTAGTGTAGACACCGTTCTCCAGAGGCGCAAGTGAGGCATGTTAAGTTTCCTAAAAAAAAATATGCGCAATGCTCGATTTCTATGTCATTTGATGAACTTTTGTGATTCCAGGAACACTATTGATATTTCTTTGCAATAGCTTATTAATTTCTTCAATTTTTTTTGTAGTTACGGTGGAAATTTTGACATTGGTAGTGTTCTCTTTAATACACTTCATAAGTGTATTAAAATCACGTATATCTGACCTTTGACCAACTATACCATCTGCAGTACGCTTTATTACCGCGCCCACTCCATCCATAGGCCCTTTGCCATGGCCTGCTTCACAGAAGTTCCACGTCGCAGTTTTAAAAGTGTATCTCTTTACCAAGTATTGAGTATACAGATAGAGGACCATCGCTTAAAATATACAATTTCTGAATAGTGCGTGAGGATACAATTAGATCTAGCATCTTTTGAAGATGAGCTCATATTGCACAAGCATCATGGTCATTCTTAGAAAATGTGCAAAATGAACAACTATTCATGTTTTGCGTATCTGGTCATCTGTAGTAATAAACACCAGTATGAAGACTGACTTGCTGTTTGGATGCACCAAAATGGACTCACTGGATCTCATTCGCATATTTACAGCAATTATTTTCAGAAAAAATGATTTGTATTTTTAAAAAGATAATGATCCAAGTTATAGTTCACATCCCTGGACCTGTGGTCTCTTCCATGGAGAAAAAATATCCACGTAATCCATGGGAGTGACATCCATGGAAAGGACATTTTGAGGTTTAATAATGGAAAAGTAGCCAAAAAAATCTCATCTTTGCAAACTATTTCGGCAATCGTAATTTGACCATCAAACCTACAAAACAGCAAAACATAATGTAAATTAAACAATAATACTTATTTGGCAAATCAGCCACAGTAGTAACCACGTATGTTTGACGAGTTTTAAGTAAGTAAACTAATCGTTTTTTTACGACAAACGTATTGCAACCGGTAAGACATTGACATCTCACTATGGTTATGACAGGTGTCAGCTTGTCAATGCTCACATAAATTCGGTTACACGCACCTTATTTTCTAAGTAAAAAGTTATCGTGACCTTCGTCCATGGAAGTGACTAAAATCCGAGCCACAAATTATAATTAGGTTTATTGTTCTTTTTTTTATCAATTAGATATTAAGTTTTAAGCTCATATTGGTCAGTATATAATAGAGTTTAGGATAATATCCATAAAGTGTAGAAATTTCATGCCACAATCTGAGAAAAAAATATTATATCTGTAAATTTGCTTCAGTCACATCCATGGAAAAGACATTTTCAAGGTTATTTTCTTATATTTAAAATAACGTGTTAATTAAAATGAATATATTTTTATATAGTCTTCACCAGATGTGGTTGCACTACCTTGATAAATATAATAAGCCCACGTGCCATAAGTTATTAGAGAAAAAAATCTTGGTCACAGATACTTTTATTGAAAATGAGAAATACCCTTATAGCCTTAGATTAAAACAAAAAGGGTAGATACGGTACGCTCATACTTGCATCAAACAAAAACTGATCCCACTTTACTACATATGCAACACTCACACATCCACTTGTTTGTAAAGATACAATCGAACGAACGAAACAGCAATTCAAGTTTTAACGGCAGCGCGACCGGGACGGCGAGATCCGCGTCACTGCATTACCGACCCGAACGGAACATCACGTTAAGTTTCAACGGCAGCGCGAACGAGACGGCGAGATCCGCGTCACTGCACTACCGACCAATCACGCCACCAGTACTCGACGTCACTACCGAATAAGATTCAAAACAAACAGCATTTTTATGAAAAAATATATTTTATAGTGCTTACGAATGAAAAGTGATGCCGTGGGTTTTATTTTTAGTTCTTGAGCAATTTGAGCACTTTTTAAAAACACACTTAGGCATTGTTTTATCATATAAACACAAAATATTAGCAATATTTCTTTTTGGCGTTCACATGTACGTCGTTTGCATGTCAAGTTGTGACTAAAGCGATTGTGGTCTTGGGCCACAATTTATGCGGATTACTTTTGTGGAGCTAGTGCCGTATCTACCTTTTTCTTTTTAATCTAAGATTATAGCCCATTATGCGGCATAATGCTTAACGTTGAGTGTTTCAACTACAGCAACGCTTCGCACAATCGAGCACTCTCAAAAGTAATGCTTTCGTGTGATGCGTGCAATCGTACCAACTCATAGACAGAAAAGTAACAAGTGGTTTTTTCTTTAAGTTGGCATTGATCGAAATGTTTTATTTATATGTTATCGTTAGTAATATTATTATTGTTGAAACATTATTAAAACTTTCGTTTCATTATAGTTTTTTTTAAATAATCAAAGTTAATTCAAACTGTTAAAAAATTAAATATAAATATGGATGAAGGTATAATTATTGACTTTTTTTTTCAACACTGAACTTAGCGCACTCTGCTGGTGCATTTGAAAACTAATTCACGTTCCAATTAAGCATCAGCATAATTCGGCATTGTGCGCCACTGAGTCGCATAATGCTCTGTAATTGGAAAACCACCGTTAATAGCTGTTACGTATGTACTGCTGCCTTTTTACCCCATCTCTACTTATGTCAAAAGTATCAATTTTACATGACATTGACATTCTGATACCAAAAAATAAGTTTCAAAACATTTTGACTTTTGCGTTTCCTTTCTTTGTTTATTTGAGAAATTGTTTAAGAAATGATGCAGGTTGATTGTTCAAAAGATGAATTTAGCTGATCCCGAACTAGAATTGATAGATCCAACGCCCAATGTCCATACATTGTTCTTACATTTCGACAAACTTTTCTTCTGGACTAAATTGGCAAGCAGAGCAGTTGTAAGATGGAGCAAGAGGATGTATTCCTGCGCTGGTATATGTTCGTGAGTAAAATCAGTTTTTAGAACGTTAGGCGAGTTATTAATGCCCTATAATATTTCACTGTTATTCCAGATTTATTATAGCAGATATACCTTTAGTTAGTTCCGCCCAAAGTGAATCAAAACTTCTTAAATGAAATTTTCTCTCTGATTATATTGGTGGTCAGCTGTTTGACTTCGAATTCGAGTTAAAGAAAAGAAAGGTTGGTCACCTATATAAATAAATATATGTATTAATATGAAATAAATTGCAAGATCTGGCCAATGTTATCATAATCCATATTATCACAAATAAAACCCCCTTACAGCTATTATAATAATATATTTTTCTATCCAACTGTACTTTAATAAATAAGTATGTATAAATGAATTGATCTGAGCAACAATAAATAATCATTTCCTGTGAGACACACTAGTCCAGTGATGGGTAAACGACAGCCTGGGGGCCATCTCCGGCCTTCGATTGGTTAAATCAGGTCAGGGACCATCAATCAAAAATCAACGTTTCACACAAAGAATACAATTTTTCACATGTTCCGACAAGGATCACCTTGCTGCTGAACCTATTTACTTTGCAGCAAACTTAAGTCATTTTTGAGGGGCATTTGCTACTGAGCTGGATTGTGATTTGGTTTAATTAACAAAAAGTTAATAGCCTCAGTGAAAACTTGGCCTGCCAAAGATTCTGATGGTAAACATTGGCACGATGAGGAAAACTTCTGCCCCTCCCTGCGCTAGTCTCACCATTATACTTTCTTTTCAAGTTTGCTATTTTTAAAGTCTGACCTCATCATTCATAAATACATGATGAGGATAGACTGGTGTTAAGCTTATATCTTAATACAATTCTAAAATTATGTCCACAGCAGTCATTTGTATTCGACTTATGTTTGCTTATGCTTTCTTAATTCAAAGATGTTGTATGTATCAAATTCAACTAGTGGAATGACGCTTATATAGTGTTAGAAAATAATAGCCTAGTGAAGTGTCAGCATAATGAATATTCAATTTCATTTTGGACATAATGTGTTACAATCACAAATTAAATACAAATTATTTTTATACAACAAATCTCTTATCTATTAGACATGTCCGTCTGTCTGTGGTGCTGTTTCAGGGGCCAAACTGTAAGAGATAGATAAAGAGAATATTTAAGTTATAAGTTAAGAATAGTCTGATAAGACTACAAACCGGATTTGAGTAATGTAGCACTTCCGGTTTTCGAGAAATCAGGTTTTGGTGAACATTTGGTTCACTGGTTTGCTAGTAAGTTATAATTATTTAGCACCAATGCAAACACAATACTGCAAATTATTGTGTTCAGTAGAATAGCGAATAATTGTAAAGCAGTTTATTTATCATCATCATTATTTTTTATTTATTTGCTATCTAGAATATCTGCTTGTATAACAAATATTGTTTATTTCAGATATGAAGGCAGAGGTGGGCTTTGTGATATTGCTTTGAGCGAACCACTTCTCAAGTTGCGCCCACGTAAGGACCTAATAGAAACTCTCCTGCATGAGATGATACACGCATACCTTTTCATTACTTGTCGAGATCGTGAACGGGATGGTCACGGACCTAACTTCAAGGCTCACATGTACAGGATAAATAAGTCCGCTGGCCTTAACATAAGTATTTACCACGACTTTCATGATGAGGTAGGCAAAATTTATGATACATTGCACATATTAGGGTAGTTGGTGTTTTAACTTACCGAAACTGAATTATAGTTATCAACCAAAGGGTAACACATAGTTTGAGTTTATCCTTCAGCCCATTAGCATATGAACACGAAAATTTAATGAAGTATTAATCATTTTAGGTAAATCTAAAGAAAATATAACTAGAAAAAATTCCACGCGGACCAGGCAGCAGACGGGACTCGAACCCTTTTTTCTAGTTATATTTTCTTTAGATTTAAACATCAAGCAGTTACATGCTTTAAAAATAATAAAAATTATAATTTTAGGTAAAGTTATATTTAACTCATTGGTGGAGATGCAATGGTCCATGCCAAAGCAGGAAACCTTTCTTTGGGATTGTGCGGCGATCACAAAATAGTGCCCCAGGACCACGTGATTATTGGTGGTCCGCTCATCAGAAAACATGTGGAGGTACGTTTATTAAAATAAAAGAACCCGAAAAGAAGACTGGAAAGGGAAAGAAGACTAAAAACAATAATGGCAATATAACAAAATATATAAACAATAACAATAATAATAAAACTACAGATAATGAAGTCAGAAAACCATTGACACCTCTTATAAAATATAAAACTAAAAAACCCAGTACTGGCACTAAAGTGAAGTCAAACAGTGGAAATACAGTTGTAATAACCCAGAAAAATGTCACAGGTAGTCCTAATAAAATAAGTTCTTCTATAATTGCATTTACTGGTAATGGTCATGTCATAAGCAATCTCACGAATAAAAGTAAACCTTCTGAGGTAAATGAAACTGTTAGGAACGTATGGGCTAATAAACAATTACCTGGTTTAAACAGTAAACCAAATATGTCTCTGATTGAAGTCAATAATTTTAATAAAACTGTGAAACCAATAAAACAAAGAACAAAGTCAGAACACACAGATTCACCTCCATCAAAAATTAAAAAAATTGACGATTACTTTAAAAAAACTGCATCTTCTTTATTAAGTGATTTATATGGAACAGATATAAAAATAACACAAGAAAACAATAAAATAGTTGCAGTTACTAACAATAACCTTGTTGGTAGTCCTATTAACAAAAAACCATTTACAAACAGAGACCTTGTTGATTGCCCAGTTTGTAGTCAAAAAGTTGATACTGGTGAAATCAACAAACATTTGGACGAGTGTTTAAATAAAGAGGTAATTGAAAATTTGAGTAAAGATTATGTACAGTCAAACGCGTTAGTACTTACTGGTAACAGTGTTATTGCTAGTCAATCTAAAGAACACAAAAATACAGTTGCACCTACAACACCTATATTTAAAAAGGAAGAAAAGGTACATGATAAAAATTTTAAGGAGGAAAATGGTGTAATTAAGCCGATAAATTGTAACGAAAGCATTGATCTTTGTAACATAAATGTAGATTGCACATCAAAGACTCGGACCACTCCTATCATCAAGGAGGAAAGTAATGACTCCAACCAATTTAACACACATGATGTGAACAGAGTAAAATCCATAGTGAAAAGGATAACTTACGATAAACATGTTAGGAAATCTGATAACTTTATAGTGCCAAAAGACGAAGAGCATGAGGTAGATTGTGGGTCCTTACCATCATTTCTAGATGAGGTAGGCACTGCTATCAAACCTGCCGCTATTAAAATAGAACCCGGTACAAGTAAAGATGTAGTTTCCGCTTTATCACTTAAGTGTCCTTGTTGTGGGAATATTGTTGACAAACCTATGGTTGAGCATTTGGACGAGTGCCTTGCTTTCTTTGACAACAACACCACTGTACCAGAAGAAGGAGCTTCAACTAGTTTCGCGAATAATACTATTGTTATAGATGATGATGATGATGAAGACGATGTATTTGATGAAACATTGACTATGAATGCTACTGGAACCAAAACACCTTGCCCATGCTGCATGGAGATGATAGAAACCGCAGAAATGAATAAGCATTTAGATAATTGTTTGAGTTAATTGTAGTATAATCGTTATTTATTGCAAAGATAATGTTAATTATTTGTAATTTGCTAAGAATTTTGTATTATGTATTTCTTTTTATTAAGATTTGTGTTCATAATTTCAGAAATGATTAGCGATATTAATGATACCTGATATTTATGTGATTTTCAAGAAATGTGATATTAGAATACAACGGTTTCTTAAAAAAATGTATTGGTATTATTTGTTAAATATTACAATAAGTATTTAATAACTACTTGTAAGACTTACGGTTATTAATGGCTTGAAAAGTAACCTCTCCTCATCAGATAAGGAATCAATGATTTTGTTGTATCCTTTAACGACGGCAAGTACACTCTCATAAACGTAGAATATAGTCTTCATTTTCATATATACCTGTCAGATAAATTAACAATATGAATCTCTGATATGTTAATTCTAAAATGTCTTACTTTTTTTTACCTGAAACGCGTGGAGAGGAATATCCAGTCCTAAATTTTCCCAATGTGATGCTTCTTTACACAGCTCAAGTATGTTCCTGTAACAATACAATAAGTATATTTGTGTCCACAACCAAGCACGATAAATTATTTGCCTACAACACTTATGATGACTTACACATCGATGTTACATTCCATTAGACCGGGATTTTCAGCGCTCTTTCTCATTAAAGTTCTATTCAATCCAACTCCGCATTTCTCATCCAAATTGTGCTGTAAATTTACGTATCAAAGGCAACGATATTAAATACCCTAGATACACCAACACGAACAAAATCGTGCCCGAAACCTGTCCAAAAGGTACATTTAACGATCCACGGAGCTCCGTAAGATGATGCGTAGTGAAAATCAATATAAGGCATTATTTAAATATTGAAAGTAACCTTTAATACATACATTATAAGGTCTTAAATAAAACGCATGCGTCAAGGACTTCTGTCAGTTCGTAATGCAAGCTCTTAAAATTTTATGACTTATTGCTATATGCGGAAGAATTTAGACCTTAGTTCTTTGACTCTACGCGCAATTCTAAACGCGCTGTTAGCAATATAGCAGGCACGGACCGCGAGGAAAAGAGACGGCTATATGGCGACGTATAACCGACCATGCATTTGAATATCACAAATATTTTATATTAAATCAGTTTATAGAAAATATTACATCAAAATTTACTTCAAATGCGTTAAATTAACAAACATTGACTAGATACCTGTCGAAAAAACGACACTATTCGTACTCTTAAGTCTTATTTTCGCATTTTTTCGCGGAACTCTGTGGCATCTTGACTTTGTAACGGTCCGCGCGTGACTGTGACCAAAAAGTGCTTGAGTGGAATTCAAGCACTTCTTGATTGGGACACATTTTAAGCACTCGTGGTATATCTAGGGTATTTAATATCGTTGATCAAAGGCTATAATATCACAAGATAATTCGACTAATTTTGAAAAAAATCTAATTAATTGCTTTTCAATTAAAGCAAATTAATAATATTTCTGTGAATCTGGAGAATATAATATGTAGGATATCAGAAGTACATAAATGTTAATACCGTCCAAGATATCCAAAGTTCTCTTACGGCGACGTCAATAGCACCCATGAGTCTGTTTACGTGCATTATTACATCTTCGGAGTTACTGCACGGTAGCAACCACACAGAAGCATCTGTCATGATCTGAAATAAGTTTTGTTATTCTCAATCTTATAATTATACATAACTTGTTAAAGATCGCAAATCCCAACATTTATTAGATGGATTAAATCCATAAAAAGCTATGATGTAAAGAAAAACAGGAGTGAGACTGATGATTTTAACAATGCAGTAAGGTCAAGGGGAAGATCTTCCTCCGAGCTGGGTGATGATAGCTCGAGGGCCGCAGCCGATTGATGTTGGTCGGGCATTGTATATCGGAGTGTAAGCATCCGAATTTCACTTGCGCGATGTAGGCTTCCATACATATTGATCGCGGCGTCGGTAGCGCCATCTCTTGAGGAGGCGAGTGATTATTTCCTCCATCCGTTGAATATATGTGGGGCATATAGATGTCACCACCACAAGGCAAAGCTGAAAAAGTAAGTCGAGGGATACGAAATGTGAATCTGCTTACCTTCTTTAAGTAAACAAGTCTGTTCTTCCTCATTTGAAGAACAACTGCTCTGCCAGAGAAGCAAGGCAAATCAGCTGGGTGTTGACTTCGTGTGGATACCATGTCCTTCTTAGCTTCTTGAACTTCCTCACTGAACATAGCCCATACCTAAAAGTGTGCTTTTTAGTAAAGGTGGTGTCGTAAACTGGAAGGCAGATATGTAAAGAAGCAGTGAAAATACCCTAACAATTTCAATGGGATATAAAAACCGTTATGTTCATTAAAGAGATCAGAGCACTATTTAAAATTAATAAAAAGATTAACCTCCGCAGTTTTCCTTTTGAAAATTCGCTTTAAATTCTTCCTTTTGGAGTAACTATTCAAGGAATATAGTGCAATGACTGCCTCTTCTACGTGGTTCACCCCTTCAAATACTGTCTCCACTAAATTCTCAATTATAATCTGAAATAGTTTCGACACCTATATTAACAAACCCATCACCAATTCATACATATATACGATCATTTCAAACAGCGCGAGTTTCAATGAGTTTTCAAACCCACGTAAGTGACGAACCTCTATGTCTTTGATAATTGTCCTAAAATGCAGTACTTCGTCGTACCACGAGGGCGCCTGGACGTCTAAAATTGTAGGAGCCACTGCTCTAATGTCATCTAGCGCATTGCTAAACATATGTTCAATCTGTTCGCATTTGTTCTCGAAATTTTCGCCATGAGCACCAGCGAACATAGGTTTGCTCACCTCTTCCAATTCGTCAATTCTAGAAAATATATATTTTACATTTATATGTTTTAGCTACAAAAGTCCATTTAAATAGCGTCAAGTTAATGCAGACTAAAATAATATAACAGTGTCATTTTGTTTACCGTCCAAATATAATCATGCAGTTGCACACATCGAGCATGTCGAAACACCGTTGGACAAAAGAGTCGATATAGTTGAAAATCGAGCCAGTGTCCAACTCCCAGCTACCAGGATTTACATCATTATGTGCCTCTGCCATTACATCGTAGATTTCTCGATACTTCTTACAGCAATCTATACATTTAGAAAATTCCCCCAACGCTTTCTTCGTCTGACCATTAAAAAGATCGTCCAGCTTTATATAAGTCCTGCATAAGATTATGATCTGGTTGCTCAAAGCTTTGAACAGATTCGTAATGCGTGCTTCAGAGTTGTAGAACGGGGATTCCATCCAAATGAATCTGAAGAGATTTATTATTTGCGGGATATGCTTGGAAATCTCGTCAGGATCAATCACACATTCGAGAACGGCACAAGGTTGTTTGATTACTTGCAAGTATTCTATGTTCGAAGTTGCCTCCTTTATCTTTTGTATTATTTCTTCACATAACGCTTGAAATTGGTGGATGAAAGTGGAGTGAGTTGTAACTAAGGTCTTTGTGATGTGGCGGACTGCTGGATTTTTCAGTTGATGGCGTAGAGCGCTTAAGTTCTCCACTGAAAAGAAATTATGTAAAAAATAATGTTTTTTTTATAAATCTCTTGAATAGACGTACAATACTCACGCCTGTAAATCCAGAAGTCATATTCATCACTTGGACACAGCAGTTCATTTTGTGATGCTACAAACGCTTGGTCTTCTAAACAGGATTTAATCTGATGAGTCCAATAGACAACGACACCTTCCAATCTTTTGACCAGTTCAAGATCAGCACTCGCCTTTTCAAAAGACAGTTGCTGGCCTTCCCGTGGTATATAAAGTACAGTTAGACCCAACATTTTGTAATACATATCAGTCAGTTTCGCCAGAAAAGTGTGTATGTGAGTGCAGAATTCGCTTTTGACACCTGAAATTTAAAAAAAAACGATCAATTAGTAGAACAAATTACCAATAGAAAAAATAAATTTGTGATTGTTCAAATGACTTACTATCAGGCCATGTGGTAATGGCGAAAAAGTATGGAGCGTACACGTTCTCCAATATTTGAATCATATTAGACTCCACAGAGTCCACGAAGGTGCCGAATACTATTTCGTCGTGAAACGTGTCTACTTTGAAGATGTAATCGGGCTGTCTGGTGAAGTAGGTCAAATCAAAGACGGGGAACAGAGGGATATCACAAGATGCCGTGAGCTTGTTGCCTCTGAAGTAAACGCAGAGGATGAGCGCTCTGGGTTCCATGAGCCATTCTTCTATGCCTTGCTTTGCATCTTCGTTCCAGTCCTCGTCGCGAAGGTCGTATAGGGTAGTCATACGCATGATGAAGCCGACTAGCTTCTTAAGTTCCTCTTGGGAATATGTGGGCTTGACTGGAGTCTCGGCTAATTCCCGCTCCAGTTGGGCTAAGCGCTCGCGCTCTAAAACATTTAGAAATAAGTTACGAAAGAATACCCAGAGCTCCACTGGTTAGAGGATGTGGTCAGGGTATGGGTGTGTGGTACCTACTACCTTGTCGCAATAAGTAGGTCTACGTTCTTTAAAAAAATAAAATGTTGGATGTTAATGTTTGGATGTAAGTAAGGTACCTGATACAAATAAGGCCTGCGCTGAAATAAGGCCTGTAGTGCAAAAAAGTCTATTAAAATATGTTTACATCAAAAATACTTTACACACGCATAGACGACAGTTCTAAAACTCGGCAAACTGTGCACGAGCGGACCGCTCGAGCTCATAGCGTCAGTAGTGGCAGTACTTTGTGAAGGACGAGCTTTTCATAGCGCGTTATTAATTTGTCGTAATCTTTAACGAATTTTAATATGTTATTCTTTGAAGTTTTGTTTCATGTAATGTATACGGATCACAATATACTAACCAAAAAGTTGACTTTGACTTAAAATTTAACTTTTTAGAATATGCGAATTAAATACTACTTATAACTTTTATGAAGTATTACGTACTAAATAAAGCCTACTTTTATAAAAGGCCTTATTTTTTATCAAATATATCTAATGCCATTTTTTGTTTGTATGAATATGTTTTTTTATATTATTCTTTATCTCTTGTCAATATGCGACTTCAAATCTGACTAGCAATTTAAGCAAAATATTAAGTAAAATAAATTAAAATGTTGTTCAAGGATCCCATGGAAACACTTGATTAAAGGCTCAGAAATACATATTTTAATA